TGTTATATATTAAAATAGTTACACCAGCTTGCTTCTTAAGTCCATTTGACTGGAAAGACTTTTCCCAGCCCTTTACTCTGAGGTAGTGTCTGTCTTTGAAATTGAGGTGTGTTTCTTGTATGCAGCAGAAGGATGGATCCTGTTTTTGTATTCATTCTGTTAGCCTGTGTCTTTTTATAGGCAAATTGAGACCATTGATATTAATGGATATTGATGACCAGTGATTGTTAATTCCTGTTATTTTTTTGGTGGTAGTGTTGTGTGTTTCCCTTCTTTGGAATTTGTTGGTATGGGATTATCTATTGCCTGTGTTTTCATAGGTGCATCTAACTTCCTTAGGTTGGACTTTTTCTTCTAGTGTTTTCTGTAGGGCTGGATTTGTGGATAAGTATTGTTTAAATCTGGTTTTATCATGGAATCTTGTTTACTTCATCTATGGTATTTGAGAGTTTTGCTGGGCATAATAGTCTTGGCTGGCATCCATGGTCTCTTGGTGTCTGCATAACGTCTGTCCAGGACCTTCTGGGTTTCAGAGTCTCCATTGAGAAGTCAGGTGTTATTCTGATGGGTCTGCCTTTATAAGTTACTTGTTTTTTTTCTTTTGCAGCTCTTAATATTTTTTCTTTATTTTGTATGTTTAGTGGCTTGATTATTATGTGGCGAGGGGACTTTTCTTTTGGGTCCAGTCTATTTGGTGTTCTGTAAGCTTCTTGTATCTTCATAGGCATTTCCTTCTTTAGGTCGGGAAAGTTTTCTTCTATGATTTTGTTGAATATATTTTCTGTGCCTTTCAGGTGGTATTCTTCTCCTTCTTCTATCCTTATTATTTTTAGATTTGGTCTTTTCATGGCGTTCCAGATTTCCTGGATGTTTTGTGTTATGATTTTGTTGGCTTAAATGTTTTCTTTGACTGATGAATCTATTTCCTCTATCATATCTTCAATGCCAGAAATTTCCTATTCCATCTCTTGCATTCTGTTGGTTATGCTTGCATCTGTAGTTCCTGTTAATTTACTCAGATTTTCCATTTCCAGCATTCCCTCCGTTTGTATCTTCTTTATAGTCTCTATTTCAGTTTTCAAGTCTTGAACTGTTTCCTTCACCTGTTTGATTGCTTTTTCTTGGTTTTCTTTAAGGAATTTATTAATTTCTTCCAATTTTTTGTTTGTCTTTTCCTCAATTTCTTTAAGATAATTTTTCATTTCCTCTTCATCTTCTTGAAGTCATTTTTAAGGTAATTTTCTTCTGCTTCTTCTACACTGGGATGTTCAGATCTTGCTGATGTAGAACCACTAGGTTCTGGTGGTGTCATATTGGTGTTTATGTTGTTGAATGTATTCTTGCACTGGCATCTATTCATCTCTTCCTCCAATTGATGCAAATGGTGTCTGTGTCTCACAGAGCCACTCTTGGTCCTATTGGCACTCTTGGTCCAATCAGAGCTCTCAGTGTAATGGGAGCTCTTGGTTTAATTGGAGCTGGTTGAGTCTGTGTCTCTGGGAGCAGCTGTGGTCTTGGGGGATGTGTGGGTTTTACGGGGTGGAGTGGGGCTTATAGATTACAGGGTCTGGTGGTAGTGGTGGTGGTCAGACCTTCCTGCAGAAGTACTGCCTGCTGGCCTGCAACTGGGGCTGCAATGGGTGAGGGTATAGGGGTATGGGTTGTGCCCTGGCCCTAAAGCCTAGAGGCTGGGGTGATTGGCTAGGAGAGTAAAGACTCACCTCTCGGTCCAATCAGAGCTGGTGGAGTCTGTCCATCAGGTGTTTTAGACAGGCATAATAACACAGCTTCATAGAGTTAAACAAATGCAACATAAACAAAAGTAACACACCTTAAAATAATATTCTACAACAGAATAGGTACAAGAAAAGAAGAAAATTACAGGTCAAAATCCATGATGAACTCAAAAATGCTTACTAAAACACTGCAAATAAAATACAGAAATACATCAAAAGGTTATACACTATAACCAAGTTGGCTTTATCCCTGAAATGCATGGATATGCAATATACACAAGTCAATAAATGCAATAAACCACATAAATGTACTTAAAGACAAAAATCACATGAACATCACCATAGATGCAGAAAAAAACCTTTGACAAAATCCAAAATACATTCATGATGAAAGTTCTAGAGAATGTAGAGCTAGAGGGAACCTACCTCAATGTAGTAAAAGCTGTAAATGAGAAACTCACAGCCAACATCATCCTAAATAAAGAAAAGCTTGAAGCCATCCCACTGAAATCAGGAATTAGACTTCTTTTAAATATTGTGCTAGTACTAGCCAAAGCAATAAGGTAAGAGAAGGAAATCAGAGGCATACAACAAGGGAAAAAAGTCCAACTATCAGGTGACATGATACTATGCTTTAGAGAGCTAAAAAATTCTATCAGAGAACTTCTAGAAATAATAAACAAATTCATGACTTGCCAATGTCTAAAACTTACATAGGTGCCCAAATCTATAAACATAAACCTGTACCTATAAGACAGGTTAATTTGTAAATTAGTGCCTGTAAGAGACTAACAGTGTATTAGTTACTTTTTTAAATACAAAATATCTGACAAGAAGCTACTTAAAGGTTGAAGAGTTCCTTTTCATATCTTCTTTCATATATTTTTTTATTTTATAATTAATTTAATTTTACGTATCAGCCATGGATTCCCCTGTCCTCCCTCCTTCCACCCACCTCCTTTTCATTTCTAGTTCAAGGAGATAGAGTCCATCAGTGTTGGGAAAGAGTGTCCTACAGGAGCAGGACACTGTTAGTCATATTGCTTCCATGGTCAGGGAGCAGAGAATGTTGAATACTTGTTCTCAGCTCCTTTTGTTTTTGTTCAGTCCAGGACCTCACTATCAATGGTGCTGCTCACATTCCAGGTTAAGTCTCTCTTCAATTAAACCTTTCTGGAAACACACTTAGAGCTATAAACAGGAATGTGTTTCTGTGGTAATTCTTTTTTTTTTTTTTTTGAGACAGAGTTTCTCTGTGTAGCTTTGTGCCTTTCCTGGAACTTGCTTTGAAGACCAGGCTGGCCTCAAACTCACAGAGATCCACCTGCCTCTGCCTCCCGAGTGCTGGGATTAAAGGCGTGTGCCACCACTGCCCGGCTTGTGGTAATTCTTAATCCAATCAAGTTGAAAATGAAGATAACCATCACAAGGAGGAAAGAAGTGTATGTCTATTTGCTGCACTTTAAAAATATACAAATATATAACTATTACATTCTCACATTTCTTTCTTCCTTCTTTTTCTTCCTTCCTTCCTTTTTTCTTCCTTCCTTCTTTTTCTTCCTTCCTTCCTTTTTTCTTCCTTCCTTCCTTCCCTTCTTCTTCTTCTTCTTCTTCTTCTTCTTCTTCTTCTTCTTCTTCTTCTTCTTCTTCTTCTTTTTCTTCTTCTTCTTCTTCTTCTTCTTCTTCTTCTTCTTCTTTTCTTCTTCTTCTTCTTCTTCTTTTCTTCTTCTTCTTCTTCTTCTTTTCTTCTTCTTCTTCTTCTTCTTCTTCTTCTTCTTCTTCTTCTTCTTCTTCTTCTTCTTCAAGACAGGGTTTCTCCTTGTAACAGCCCTACCTGTCCTCGACCTTGCTTTGTAGACAAGGCTGCCCTTGAACTCACAGAGATCTGCTTGCCTCTGCCTCTAAAAATGTGTGTGTGCACCACCAGGCCAGCATGTTCTCACATTTCTGATTATGAATAAAATACATGAGCTATCAACAGGCATCATGTATTAAATACACACACACACACACACAAATAGTACTTTAGTCTTGGTCCTCAATAAAACACAGAGTACATAATTCTCAATATAGTATACTATTTATTTCCCTATGGCCACCTCATGCTGGGTTATTTATTAACACAGTGTACATGAAAGCATCTCTACAAGTCATCAGGAACAATCTGAGAACCAGGTATTCTTTCTTATTTATAGAGTGGCTGCTGAGTGGGATCCAGGGAGCCTTACTTAGCATCTGTTCAGGGGAGGAGTTTACCAGATTCCCCTCATTAAGAACTTGGAGAACCTCTTGTGTTCCAGGGCAGATATTTAAGACCTCAGACTGGGATGGGGGCCAGCAAACTACCAGACATGGACTGTTGGGTGACTCTGGTCCAAGAAGGTCTGTACCTGAGTCACAGAGACTACCATAGATGGGCAAGGTGAGAGTAGTTCCTCCAGGTGGGTGTGGAATGTGCCAGAAGTGCTCAGACTTGGGTTATGTCTTGGCAGATGGCGTAGGCATAGTATAGAGGAAGACACCAGGCTTTTTTAGAGTAGTGGTGAATGGTCTCTTGGGAACTGGGAACTGGGCTGCTTATCATGTCCACCGCAGGTCCTTGGGGGTTCTTTCAGTGGGCATCATGGGTCTGCTTAATATCACTGTTCTGCCCAAGAGTAGAACATTTCCACGTTCTAACCCTAACTCTGACAACCTCTACTCTATCCCTAATAACCATAACCCTTGTAGAGGGAGAGGCCTTCATGCTTGTTCAGGCACTTGCCTCCGCAACTGGCCAATCACTGGCTTGGAAGTCTTCACTCCAAATGGGATTAGTATTTAGTGGGGGCTAAAAGAAAAAAAACCCCAAACCAAACCACCACCACCACCACCACCACCACCACCACCACCACCACCACCACCACCACCACCACCACCACCACCACCACCACCACCACCACCACCACCACCACCACCATAGTGGGGGCTAAAAGAAAAAAAACCCCAAACCAAACCACCACCACCACCACCACCACCACCACCACCACCACCACCACCACCACCACCACCACCACCACCACCACCACCACCACCACCACCCCCCCCACTCTCTTCCATCCCCCCATCCCCCTCCCCCCCCCACCAGCGACACAAACACCTTTACTTCTGCGCATGCGCAGCGGCTAGCCGCTCGGTGGGCCACAGCTGACGGCGCAGCGTATTGCGCAGGCGCGGTGTGTAACAGCTTCGAGGCCCCTGTGGCGGCTGAGGAAGTGGCGTGCCATGGCTGCCCGACAGAAGCCGTTGGGTGTGGAGCCCGAGGGGCCAGCAGTCCGGCTCCACAAGCCTCAGGGGGCCGCAGGTAGTGGCCGAAGGGTCCCTGGGTTGGCCTGGCGAGCTGGTGGCGTGAGAGGGCGTCCGGTCGAGGCCTGAGGAGAGCTGGGCGGGTGGGCGCGAACCCGGGGGTGGGCGCGCTGACTGGGATCCTCGCTGACGAAGCGTGTGTCGCCTCAGAGCCAGCTCGCTGCCGCCCGGCGATGCCAGGCCTAGGGTGGGTGTGTTGCGGGGCCACTCCTCCTGTCACCTTCAGAGCGGGCTCGAACCCGGGCTCGAACCCGGGCCCCTGTGGCCGCAGGCAGGCCTGAAGTCAGGGGCCTGCCCGAGCTGCAGTCGCCCTTCAGTGCCCGGAACTTGACGCCGTCCCCAGCGCGCCTGGCGTCGGGGGTGCCCGGATCGCCGCTGAACAGAACCACTGGTGTGGACACTCTTGTGCACAAACGATGTAGTGTCTGTGTATCGGGTGGTAAAACCATGTCTTTATTGTGATGAGCTCCAAGTTTATAGAGAAGCAGAGAGCAGGGTGAGCTTATGCTGTGAGCCTACCCTCCAGCTTTGACGATATGACTCGTTCGTCAACCCCCCCCATCACCTAGTTCTCTGTTTCATGACAGAGCTCCCCAGACAGCAGTGTCATCCATAAATGTCCCGTGTATATATTTAGAGACAAATACCCCAGAAAAAATAACACTATTGCTACAGCTGTATAATAGCGCCAACAATTCCTTTATCTCAGCAAGTATCTAGTTGATTTTAAAAATCGGCTAATTGGCCGGGCGGTGGTGGCGCACGCCTTTAATCCCAGCACTCGGGAGGCAGAGCCAGGCAGATCTCTGTGAGTTCGAGGCCAGCCTGGGCTACCAAGTGAGTCCCAGGAAAGGCGCAAAGCTACACAGAGAAACCCTGTCTCGAAAAACCAAAAAAAAAAAAAAAAATCGGCTAATTGTTTTAGTATTAGTATTATTATTATTTAAAGAGTTTATTTATTTATTTATTATGTATACAGTATTCTGCCTGCATATATCCCTGCAGGCCAGAAGAGGCACCAGATCTCATTACGGATGGTTGTGAGCCACCATGTGGTTGCTGGGATTGAACTCAGGACCCCTGGAAGAGCAGTCAGTGCTCTTAACCGCTGAGCCATCTCTCCAGCCCCCTATTATTATTATTATTATTATTATTATTATTATTATTATTATTTTTACAATGCATTTATTTGGATCAAAATCTACTTACAGACAATTTTTTGTTAGATTAAATTGATGTGTCTCTTAAGACTCTATCATTCCTTAGGAGTCTTCCTTTCTTCCTCCTTTCCCCTGAATGTTAAAAAAATTCTCTGTATAGTCTCCCAGTCTGGATGGTGCCACATGCACCCTTAAGTGCTATTTACTGTGGGTATCTAGCCCTGAATTGTTTCTTAGAACTTGAGCTTTAGTTAATAAGTGTTAGCATCAGTTTTACAAGAGTTCTTAGTAGGTGGCATTGTTTTTAAATTAGGTGACTCATAATGTCTGGTTCCTTTATTGTGATGGTAATGCCACAAGTAGTGATTTCCTACATTTAATTCACCAGATAATTAAAAATAGGTGCATATATTGGCTATAAAAATTGCTGGGCAGTGGTGGCACATGCCTTTAATCCTAGCACTCAGGAGGCAGAGGCAGGTGGATATCTGTGAGTCTGAGGCCAGCCTGGTCTACAAAGTGAGTTCCAGGACACCCAGGTTGGTTACACGGAAAAACCCTGTTTTGAAAAAACAAAACAAACGAACAAACAAAACAAAAAAATGAATACAAAATGTTGCTTTATGTAGTAGCTTTATAATCAGTATCAATTATATATAGAAAAGCTATTTGAATGTTTTAACCAGCTCCCTTACTATAATACATTTTTGCTTATAGTCAGTGTATTTTTGCTTAAGACTTTCGAGAACTTTGTAATTGATAATGCTATCTAACCCATTACAGTGATTTTTCAACTACTTTCCAGTTTTTTTTAGCAACACCCTCTTCCCCACAGTGGTGACTAAACTCAGGGCCTTGAATATGTAAAGCAAGTACTCTACCACTGATTCACATCATTAGCTATTTGCTTTTTTAGAGACATGATCTGTGTGTAGCTCAAGGTGGACTTGACTTTGTGCGTGATAAAGGTTATACTGGATTCAAACTGTTGATCTTCCTTGCTATTTCCTCTAAGTTCTAAGATTACAGGTATGTGCCATCACACTTAGTATCTCCGTCTCATCCATGGCTTTGTGAACTTGACCCAGCTTTGACAACATCAGCAGCACAAGTGAACTAAACACAGTGCTGCCCTCACCTTGAGTTTTGTGAAGCAAATATGTGTGGTGCTGTTGTACCGTGAAGGAAAAGGTTAACCACGGAGGGGCCCAATTCACTTTTTTGTACTATCCATTTTGGGACAAGGATCAGTAACACTGTTTTGGTTAGAGATCTGTCCTCAGCTAATCTCAGTATCAGCCTAGGTACTGGATCCGTCTCCTGGCCATTTATACTGCTGAGTTTGAAGTGTTTGGTTTTGTCTCCACAGGGCAGAATGTGTCCACACAGAAAATCGAAGACTTAATGGACATGGTGAAAAAGTTGCAGAAAGGTCATGTGTCTCTTTTGCCTATGAGATTTACCCTGAGGTTTGAAGTCAGCAGATGTAGATTCAACTCCAAGCACCGCAATTCACAAATGAGAAATTATTTTATTCACATTAACTTTCTTTAAAACTTAAATTTGGGTGTGTGTGTGTAGAGAGATAGATCAACAGTTAAGAGCACTAGCTGTTTTGCAGAAGTGTGGGTTTGTTTCCCAGCACTCATATGTGTATCCCAATTATTAGTAAGTCCAGTTTTAGGAGATCTGATTCCCTCTTCTGGTCTCTGCAGGCACCAGGCACACATGTGGTGTGCATACATATGTGCAAGCAAAGCACTCATATGCATAAAATAAATATAGATGCTTTTGAATTTAAATTTTAATTTTGAGAAACATTTAGTGTGTGTGTATAATGGTTCACACACATACCATGCCCAAGAATGTGTCAAATTAAGAGAGTCAGTTCTTTCTGAAGGGAGTCAGTTCTCTCCTACCATGTGGGTTCCAGAGATCAGACTCAGGTTGTCAGGCTAGGTGGCAAGTGCCTTCACCCACAGAACCATCTCACTGGCCCCTTACATTTTAATTTTTGAACTAAAAATGGAGCCACAGTGATTCAAAATTATAGAAGCATGAGTGCATAGAAGGCAGATGTTTCCCCAAAACCTGTCCCAAGTCTCTCTTGACTCCACAACACTGTTAAATCCAGGGGTTTTACCCATACTCCTCTTTCCCTCTCACATCCTTCCGTCTTCTACTTGTTTACTGTGTTCAATCCCATTTCCTCCTCAGGACAGGCTTTTGCACTTGGCACTCTTCACTTTACCCAGAGAGCTTGAGGGTCTTGCTTTCTTACAAGACACTTTCTCACATCTGACAAGCACTTGCTGACCTTTGCCTTGAGACATTTTCCTGCACTTCATTTCTCTTGACAGAAGTTACCACAGCCTGACTCAATATCTCTATTGGTCTTTTCCTTGTCCCTCACACTGCACGTTTGAGACCATAATGTAGCACCTGTGCATGTGAGATGCTCAGTAGACTGATGTGAAGAGAAAGCTGCAGAATCCCAGGAAGCCACAAACTGTCAACAATGAGCTTCCTTTTTGCCCTGCAGTGGGAAGCCTAGAGCCCCAGATCGAGGTCCTGATTAACCGCATTAATGAGGTTCAGCAAGGTGAGCTTAGATCTGGCTACTATCTAGAACAAGCTACATGTTTGTTGAGGATAGGCCCAGTAAACAGTGGAAGTAAAGGCGTCCTTGTTAAATATCTGTAGTTATTTCACAAGCTCATAAGTGCAGGGCATTTCTGTATGTAACTGCCATAGTCATTTGCCTGTGAACATTGTCCTGCTGCCACCTGAGCCCAGCAAGAAGGGCCAGGATTTAGAAAACCTTGTTTCCTGTTTTGTAAAATCTGGGCCCCTCTAGATTTTCTTGGAGACAAATATGAAATGTCATCATTTGTGCTTGAGGCTGTACTTACCAAATGTTTGTCTTACTCTTTGGTAAAGCAAAAAAGAAAGCCAGTGAGGAGCTTGGAGAGGCCCAGACTGCCTGGGATAGCCTGCAGAAGGACCTGGACTCATGTAAGTTAACTTCCCAGAACATCCTAGACTTCTCCTAATGCAGTATTATATATCCTCACCAGGGTCAAGATTCTTCTCTTTTTCAACCTCATATTCTTCTAGTATTGCCATCTTCTAATAGGAGAGTTCCAGAAGTGCCTTTGAGGACTCTTCTGCCCTGAGTCTTTGCAGGGATGACGCTCCATGTGTTAGCACAGGTCACACAAGTTCTTGCCTCACAGCACCGCTGATGTGAAAGAGGTCTTTGTCATCTTGTCTTACCTGGTCACATAGCCCTTTTTGATTGATGTGGTTCTTCCCAGTGCTAATGGATGTCACCCATGGTCCTCACAGACATCTTTTGTGAATATTAGGGCCCATTGTGTTTACAGGAGTGTGTGCACCATAGGGGTGGGAACTTACCTCTCTCAGAGACACTACATCTGGGTTAGGTCACAGCTATGCTTTACCTCTCATAGGAGGTAATGCCCTTGACATTTCTGTGTTTGGTTCCTAACGCCTGAACCTTTATCATCTTTTCTAGTACATGAAGAGAAAGTACGTCTGAAGGATATCTTGAACAAAAAGCAAGGTGATTCCATATTCCCCTATCTAGGCCACTCTCTAGTAGCTAGAACCTTCAAACCTCATGACCTGTGTCCTTTCTGTGGCTTTTACCAGACCCAGACAATGTTACAGTTCAGTCAAGTGTCCATGGACTTGACTGTTTTGTTCCGTCTGGCAAATTTGGTGTCTTAACAAGCTCTCAGAGGGCCCTGTTGTTCTCACAGAGTCCCTGAGGATGTTTCGGCTGCAGTGTCAGGAGAAGGAAAGTGAGACACGAAGGTAAGATGCCATGCCTACAGTGGTCTCCCTAAGTGTCTGCTACCTCCACATCATCTGCTGTGTTAGACACAGACCTGCATAGAGAGGGACAGAATAGAAGCCCCACCCTTTCTCCAGGAGACTCATTCAGAGAACGTGGCTGACTGCTGGTTTTCTTCTCAGGAAGCACAGCGTATTACAGGAATGTAAAGAGAGAATTTCTTTCCTGAACTCCCAGATCGACAATGAGAAGGGCAGACTAAGAAAATTGAGGTAAGCTGCAAGGCAGGAGGCTTGGACTGGAGATGTGCTATAGGTACAGTAATACCCTGGATGGTCCAGAGGAGCTGACTAAGCTTAATCCTGGATGATGAAGGGGGTGAGTGTATTCCCGGTGGAATAGTGGACATAACATAGTCACTGAGTGCTAGACAGACTCAGGCTTCCGCCAAGCTCTGTGGTAGCTTCATGGCTCTGTGATTGGCTCCTAGGTTGGAGTTTGAACAACAGCTGGAGGCTTTGATGAGCCAGCACAAGGACCTCTTGGAATTTCATGTGAGTCATACAAAGCTATGCCACCTATCACACTTTATTCCTGTACAAGCCTTGGTGGTCCTGTTGTCACCCTAAATCCAGCCCCTGTGACCACTCTTGAGGTGCTTGGTGTCCTCACTGTTGGTCTTTCAGGGTCGCCCATGTTGCTGTGTCCATTCAGTGTTCTGGGGCTGCCATGATAACACCATTGGAGTCATCCATTGACACTATCCATCAATGTGTCTAAGACTGTCCCAGACACAGGAGAGACATCCCGGGAACAGTTAGCATGCACTCCTGGGAGTTCCCAGACTTGGGAGAGACATCAGGGAACAGACAGTTAACATTCACCCTGGGAGTTCCCAGACACAGGAGAGATATCAGGGAACAGAGAGTTAACATTCACCTGGGAGTTCCCAGACACAGAAGAGATATCAGGGAACAGATAACATTCACCTGGGAGCTCTCAGACACCCAGGAGAGATATCAGGGAACAGATAACATTCACCTTGGAGTTCCCAGACACCCAGTGGGGACGTGGGCTGAATGTCAGAAGGTCAGTGAGGAGGCCATGAGGAGAGAAGAGGGGAAGAAACACTAGTATCTAACTCTCTAGAGAGTGGCTCAGGATCGTAGGTTTGCAGATTTTAGGGTTTCAAATACTTTTCCTTGAACCTGTTTCCAGGGTTAAAAAGTCCAAGGAGAGGGAATGGCAAAATCAGTGCTACCAGGATTATGCCCATGGCTGGTATGCATTGAGATGCAGGGTACTAGGAAGTGAAACTTACTCAGGAAGGAAATGACTAGGTCTATACAGGCTTCTCTGAAGCACGAGGAAGCCAGGAGATCTGGACAGGTCTTCTTTTTGTGCCACCCCTCAGAAGCCTGAACATCTGGAGGAGGAGATACGTGCTTTGGACAGCAGCAAGGAACAGCTACTCAAGGAAGGTGAGGCCAGGGCAGAAGGGTGGCCCTCAGCTGCACCAGCCTGCCCTCACCTGCTCATTACTCTTTCTCTCTGTAGAGAAACTGATCGAGGTAAAGCTGGAGGATGTGAAACATCGGCTCAGTACCCTGTGTGGGCCTGAGGGGTCTTCCAACCTCACTGAGGGGCTCTTCCTCCGAAGCCATGAGGCAGCTGCAGCAATGTAAGATGCAGAGTGGGGCAGGAAGAGGAAATACCCAGTGCTGAATCCTTTCCCACTTTCAGGCAGCTGTTCAAGGAGGAGAACAAGAAAGCTGAGGAGCTCCTAAATGCTGCAGCTCAGCACCACCAGCAGGTGCAGGAGAGGTGCCAACAGCTGCAGCAGAAACGGCAGAAGTAGGCATGGAGCCCCTGTGTTCTCATTCCTCCCAGGAAGATGAATGACAGCTGTTTCCCCTGTTCTGCCTATATGTCTCTTCATGCATCCCTTCTCTCTGTTCACTCTTACCAGGCTGAAAGAAGAACTGGAAAAACATGGGGTACAGATCCTTGCTCAAGGTCAGAGTATGCAGGATGAAGGAGACAACTCATGGAGGATGGTAAGTCCTGGGGCAGAAGGGAAAGCAGAATAGAGGCATTCCCCAGAGTATAGTCTGTGGGAAAGGGCATTCCTGCTGCAGGAGGCACAGCTAAGGCAAAGGGTTAAATCCATGGTAGTATGGGCACAGAAAGGTGGAAGGGGGATGGTGTGAGCAGGGAAAATTCCTGGACCTTTACCTCCCACAGGCCAGTCCCAAGTCCCTAGAAGTCCATGAGGAGAAGGACCAAGAGCACCCAACAAGCAGGACCTGATACCCTCCTTGACCTGGAGGACATACCAGCCCCACACTCATCATATGGAGCTGTTGAAATAAACGGGCTATTTTGTATAGTTTGCTTCATCTGAGTATGTGCTTAGTGGAAGAATGAAGTTGGGGTCAAGCCCCTCAAATCGTTGAACCTGGAGATATCTTGGCTCAATTTTGATTCTTAATGAGCTTAGGGTCCAAAATGCATGTCCTTAGTAAATGCTCACCTTGAGTATCTGGCACACTCTTCTGATCCTGGGCAGAAGAATACAGATATGGACCTTCTCACAGGATCTGAATCTATCCATAATTTAATTCCTTCATATAGGCCCAAGATAGCATTGACTTAGAAACGAAAGGAAGATAATCACCAGCTCTTACTTCATGTTGGAATCCACCTCATTCTTTAAGCAAAATAAATGTAATTTGAATCTGTATGTAGTCTGTATTGTTCATGAGCAAGACCATGTTGCAGGAACATCCCAAATTAAAATTACTCATTTGTTTGGGTAGGACAGAAGTGGTCAGACCCTCCCCATTCATCCTTGGTTCTATTGGGTCCTTGTTTGGTTGCCATTTGTTTTGTGGTTTTCCTGGTAAGATGCAAATGAGATGTGTATTCACCCCAATAGGTAAGGAGACAACAAAGAAAGATCTGTCTAACTTGGTGAATAAATGAGTTAGGGGTGTGATTTACAAGAGCATGGATAATTCAGAGGCAGCTATACCTCTTAATGAAAAGTCCTGCCCCAACTCAGTCTTTTTCCCCTCTTAGAGAATGTAACATTTGTGAATGAGGGAGTATTGAATGGAATCCCAGAAGAGGATCTTGTAAGGGTCTCCCGAGGGCCTTTCGATCTTTCCCTTCCATGCAGAAGTGAATGCTAACAGTCCTATTCTCATAGACCTTGCTATCTGTTGTGTAGCTTATTTCATTGCTGTGATTCAGGGACAAGGTTTGCTATAGGTTGCCATAGTCACTGTATCTTCAAGATGGGTATGGGCTTGCCAAGCCTGGAAGAAATATGTATACTGCAGAGCAATAGTAAATTCCTTAAGGTAAGACTAATTCTCTCAAAGAACTGTGCTCCTGTTTTGTTTGTTTGTTTGGAGACAGAGTCTCACTGTGTAGTCCTGGCTGGTTTGGAATTTGCTATGTAGACTGGGCTGACCTCAAACTCATAGAAATCTGCCTGGCCCCTGCTTCCTGAGTACTGGGATTAAAGATATGTGCCACCTTGCTTGGTTTGCAACTGTACTTGCAAAGTTAATGCCACTCCCTTGAAAAGACAACCAGACTTGAGCTATCCCAAGCTTCATCACTTAGTGAATATAGTTAGTGACTCTGCTGACCAGGTGTCAACCTCAGGCAGTGGCCAGATGATGCTACAATTAGTTAATGGCCCTTAAAGCTACAGACACCCTATCTTTTCTCTGTCACTTCAGAATTTCCCTAATGGCAATCTTTTAAGTTGAAACCTCTCTGCCCCAAAGCAAATTTTAAAATTACACTCTTCTTTCCTTTTTATCTGGAAGAAGTCTTGCTATTGTGGAGTCATGATGATCCAAGTACCTTCAGTGGGGCCACTGTTGTGCCTGTTAACTTTGGATTTCAGTAGTGCCCCAAAGTAGATGAGCTGGAAAGTGGGGTCAGCCTAAAGCATCTACATTATAATCCCAAGAACCTATGAATATGTTACTCTGTACAGTAAGATAACTTTGAATATATCGATTAATTCAGGGTCTTGAGATGGGTGGATAACCAGGATCATCCCACATATCCAGACAAATCCTCAAGAGAAGTCAGGGAGAGACAGATTGGAAGATGTTATACTATTGGCTGTGGAATGGTTTTCACCCACTGGAGAACTTTTACATAGCCAAGTGAATAAGTTCTCCTCATTAAAACCACAACTAATACATAATTTATCAAAATTTTATTTATTTTCTGTTCTATTTTATGATAGGAACTCTATATGCTTGGAATTTTTAAAAAACAAAGTCACATATTAAGGGATAATAATGGGCATCTGTGTTGACTTTCCACTTGGGACAGGCAGTTTCCTGGTCTCATGAACGGGGAATGACACAAAGTTTATATTCAGGTGGGATACTGCCAAAGCCAATGGTAACAGGCTTGAGGTCAATCTCCTTTGGGTCAACCAGAGACTTCAGATTAAAATGCTGCAGAATCGCAGATAAGAGCAGAAACAATTCCATGCGGGCCAGGCCTTCTCCAACACACACACGTTTTCCTAGAAGCAAAACAGTGCTGATGAGGTACTGAGGGATCTTTGCAGACAGAGCTAACACTTGTAACAGTGAGGTTTTGGGAGTGTGGGAGGAGGCTTCAGGCAAACCACCTGAAAGGATTCACTGTCCCTGCCTGTTGGTCCCTTCCACCCGTGGTCATATGTCAGAGAACAAGAGTGTCAGTGATGTTGACTCAGGGACCAGCTTCTGACACCACTCTTTCAGAACTCTGCCTGCTAAGCAAGAGGTGGTTTAGGAAATGGACCCAAAGCTTCCCTTCCATAACTTCAGGAAGGTGGGACAGGTGAAGCCTATGCAAACATAGGTGGTTAGTTATCAAACTGGCTGTGGGATCTCCCTTTACTGAAACCCTGGGTGAGGCCCTGAGATGGGACTATTTGGGAAAGTCCAGATGCTTGCTAAAAATAGTCCAGGGAGCTAAAAAATCAAGTTTAGAAATTTTTGTGGAAACTTATGAAGAATTAGGTAATATAGTTTTGAGAGCTTTTTTACTGCATCTGGTTAAAGTAGGAACACTTAAAAAACAGCTTAACAATTAACTAGAAAACAATGTCCACTCTGTGATAAAATAATCAACCCAGAACATCTCATTTCCAAGACTTCTGGTGAAATATGCCATCTGACTTCTCTGAACAGGGAAGAACATACTTGGGTTATGTGTTACAAGGGCATGATGAAGTTGGGGTGGCAGTCCTCACCTAGAATGGGGGAAGAGCACATGGGAAGTAGGCATAGGATTGGAGAAGACAATTTTCCGGGGATGGTGTGACCCCTGAACTCTGCTTACCTGCAGAAAATGCTTTGAAATAGTCACTGTACTTGAACTTCCCATTTTCATTCAGAAAATGCTCAGGTTTAAACTTCTCCGGATCTGGAAACTCTTGGCTGTCATATAAAAGGGAGTCTAGAGTTGGAATCACAATTGTACCCTGGAAGAAGTAGAAATTTCTATCAGTCATGTTAACAAAACATAGTCTTTCATCTGGAAGACCCTAGTGAAGAGGGCTGTTGGAATTTTATATTATGTGGGACAGCATATTTTTATTTGCAGTGTTGTTTATTTAAGGACTACATAGAAAAGACCTAGGGGTCAGGTCTAAATGAAGAGGAAGGCCCTATATCTTTTGTAAGGTGGGTCCCAGTCTGGGTTGCTGCTGCCATGAGATCTCAGTCCTATGGATCTACAAGTCCTATGGATCAGTTGAGATGTTTTCCATGATTCCCTTCATTTCTTTGGTCACAGGGTTATTGGGGTGACTGAGGGTGAAGTGTTCTACAGGGTAAGAATGCTGGCTTGATTCTCACATCCAGCCACATATGCTGGTAAAAGTGCCCTGAGTTCCAATCCTGAAGGGGAACCTAGTTGATAAACTAACAGGACCATGCCCATGGAGGGCTCTCCAGCTCGTGCCTCACCTTGGGAATGACATATCCTTGGAACCTGGTATCTTGGGTTGCTTCATGGGGCAGGTTGGAGGGGACAAGGTTGATGAATCGCTGAATCTCATGCACCACAGCATCCATGTAGGGCATCTCCAGTCTGTCTTTGACAGCAGGGACACGGCTTGGCCCAATAACTCTGTCAATTTCTTCATGAAGTTTTTCTGCCACCATATGAATGAGATCAATTTGAAGGGTTAATTTCAGAATTGGTGTTTACCTACTATCCATATATATATATATATATATATATATATATATATATATAATTACTTCAATCTACCTGCTCACCTATCTGCCCATGTAACCCACCCACTTTTCCATCCACTTATATTCACTTACCCACACCTGTACACTCTCACTTACCTACTCATCCATCTATCCAATGATCCCAATCCCTCCATCCACCCACGCAGCTATCTAATTATCCTTTCATCCATCTGCCAAGCCACCCATTGTATGCTTATGGAGCACCTTAAACTGAATTTATAATCTCCAGGAACCTTGAATGTTAAATCATTTCCTCACAAATGTCAGTGAAAGCTAAGATCTGTGAGATTATTCACAGTTGACAGGGAGTTTGGGCATCCATTGTCATAGCTGGTGATAGTTTTTCCAACTCTCTTCATATCAGGAGTAGAAATAGCAAAAGGGTCTTGTACATTTCTTCTTAAAGGGAACTCTTTGTATTATCACCTAGGCTGGTTTACTATTGTTAGAAATAGGAAGAGGGTGACAGACTAGAATATAGTTCTTGAAATCTGAAAGTCCCTGTGATTACGACAGAGGCAATAACAGTATTTGCCAAGTTCCTTAGTCTTTCTGTGTTTGGAATTCATTATGGGACTCTATAATATGTAGTGATATGTAAGTAAAGCCTTTATGTCTGTCTTTAAGTGAAATATATAGTAAAGCCTTTGTGTCTGGCTTTGAGAGAAATGTAAAGCCTTTGCTGTGTTTGGGCTAATCAGTAGAGACTGAGAAATTGTTTTGAGACTGTTTAAACCTTTAAGAACTGTTTCTCTGGAGAGTTTCCACTTGGTGCTACATGAGAGCATGCAGCTGTACCGACCTTGGTCCCAAGACACTCCTGGCATTCCTGGACTGCTTTTATGGCTTGCTATAATCAAAAGGGACTAAGATTTGTGTGGGTTGTCTGCTCTCTTGGGCCACAAAAGCAAGATAACTTGGGTAATTGGAACCTTTCCCAGCCCCAATTAAGCTTGTAATTGTTTGAATAAGTAACTGGAGTGAGCTATCTGGATGTCAATCTTTTCCAAGAAAGCTGTGCCCCTCTGCTACTAATGAAACCTTAGCATCTTGGTGAACTTCTCTCTCTACTGAGGCACCTATGACGCAAAATCAAA